TGCCTTTGGCAGCTGCTTGCTTGTAAATAGTAAGTGCTCAATAAAGGCCCTCTCTTCTTTTCATCCCCCAGCTGTTGCCTACACAGGACATAAGAGTGTCCTTTTCACATCTCCCAGGTTTACAGCTATATACCTTTGTGAGTTGGCTCAAATTTAACTTGTAGGTTTTTATTATGACCAAAGAAGGCTTATTTATTTTAGAAACACAGAAGCCTAGATTCCGAAGCTTGTCATTTTACGTTTTTCTTAGGTATTTTTTGACATTTCTACAGAAATTTAATTTTCAAACAAAAATATTTAACGTTCCCAAAAGAAAAAAATATAATCATGAAGTTCTCCATTACCCAGAGATAACCGTCACTGCTAATATCCTTTTGATGTCTTTCTCTGTGCGTATGTATAATTGATACTTACTGGAAATTGATTATATCGTATATGAGCGAAGCTAACTGCTAAAGCAACCTCCAGTTGTCACTGGGAAAAACCAGTACAAGTCTGTTTCCAGCTCGTTGTCCCAGCAAGGTCAGTAGGTGATGTTGGAGTGGGCAGGATGAGGTGGACATGCTCCACCCCCTACATTTCTTTCCCGGAGTTTTTCCCCTTCTTGCCTTCAGGATTTTCTCTTTTGAGTCAGGAAAAGGGAATGGAGGAGGGATGAGTGGGAGGGTCTTACAGGCCTAGGTCTGGAAAATGCACGCATCATTTCTGTGCATGTTCCACTGACCAGAGCTTAGTCACATGACCATCTAACTGCAAGGAATGCTGGGAAATGTAGTCTAAATGGAAAAGGAAACAGCTTGTTGACCGTCTTGCTTATTTCTAACTTGGTTGTATAACCCATTATTTTAAAAAGTTTATCCATTTATTTTTTAGAGAGACAGAGGGCACAAGCAGGGCGGGGTGGGGGGTAGAGAGAGAGAATCCTAAGCAGGCTCCACACTGTCAGCACAGAGCCCGATTCAGGGCTTGAACCCACAAACCGTGAGATCATGATGTGAGCCAAAGTCCGACATTTAACCAACTGAGCCACCCAACATGCCCCTTGTAGAACCCATTTTTGAAACTTTTTTTTAAAAACCAAGCTGTTTATTTCCAACATGGTCACCTCTCCATCTCAATCCTTGGGAAGCCCTACGATCTCTTGCCAGGTCTCTTCCTAACTGGCCTGTTTTTGTTCCTGTTCCCCTGTAGTCTGATCTCGCACAGGAAACCAAGGTGGTCTTTTAAAACTCAAGTCAGAGGGCACCTAGGTGGCTTAGCTAGTTGAGCATCCAGCTCTTGGCTCACGTCATGATCTCATGATCCATGAGTTTGAGCCCCATGTCAGGCTCTGTGCTGACAGTGCATAGCCTGCTTAGGATTCTCTCTCTCTCACTCTGCCCCTCTTGCGTGCTCTTTCTCTCTCTATCCCCCAAAATAAAAAAATAAACAAAAAAAATTAAAAATAAATTTTTAAAAAGTCAAGTCAACTCTTGTCACTCCTCTGCTTAAAACTTTCCAGAGGAGATTAGAATAATGCCCTCTCCCTACAGAAGCGACTTTTTGGGTTTCTGGCCCCACTGCTCCCCAAGGTCTTGGGACTTGCTGTCACTTGTGCATGAAAATCCCTACCCCCAGCATCTCTTTCTGTCTCCTTTGGGTTCAGCTTGAGTGTCTGCTCTCCAAAGATGCCTTTCCCGACCACCAGCCTTTAATACCGTTCCCCTATTCCTCTACTTAGTTGCTTTTATTTCGCTCTTACCGTGTCATCAAAGCACTTAACCACCATCAGAAATTCTTGCGTGTTTGCAGTACATATTTATACTCTGCCTTCTGGGTTGTCGGTTCCTGGAGGCAGGAACTCTGTCTTTCTTCTGTCTGTACCCGCAGATAATGTGTCTGGCACATGGCGGGTACTTAAGGAAACACTCAGGGAATGAGTGAAGGTCATTACAGAATCTTACACATTTTTAATCACGGTATCGTAGCTCATTGCTTGGAATTGCCATGTGCATCCCTACTTTTGAGGGACTTTTGGATTTTTTTTCTGATTAAAAGTGATCTATTGGTGATCTGTTGGTGGCTATTCTTTTAGCTCTTTTTAGGCCCGTTTCATGCACAGATCTGTGCTTATTTTCTTAGGAAAGAAGCACAGATTCTCATTTCTCACCTACTAAATGAGAGTTTGTTGAGCGAAAGGATGTGTGTACAAAATTTTTAGGTATATGTCTTATATATTACCCTTTGTCTTTCAGACACCCAGTTTGTGCCCTGTGAAGTTGGGAGCCCTTCTGTAAACAGTATACTTTCAAGAACACTAGGAAGATGGGTGAGGCAGAATGGGCGTAGGGTGGTTTGTCTGTATTGCTGTGTCCTTAGATCTTTAGACAGGCACTCATGCTTAATGAATAAATCAGTTTCCCTAAAAAAATATTCTAGTTATTCCTTCAGTGAAGTTTATTTTTATTCATTTATTCACATACATGTTCCCTTACTTTAAACTGTATGCTTTTGGAAAGTAGGTCTGCCCAGTGGAAGAACATTCACCCAAGGTTAATATAAACCTAAGGGAGCCAGGTGGAAGCTGGCCTTATCCTAGTCCTTAGAATGCAGACAGGAATCAGTTTTGAGCCCCCTGTCAAGTTGGTGGAAAGTCCAGGACACTGCCTGGGATTTTTGAGAATCTGTGATACAGAGCCAGTTTCTTACCAGAATTCTCATCTTTTGCTCTATGACTGACTGACTGTTGGTTTCCGTCCCAGACAGAGTCCCTGGTTTATCTTCCCCAGCTCAGGCCAAGTGCAAGCCTGGGGTGCAAAGACTGCCGCTCTACCTGAGCTGGTGGTGAATGGAATCTCTGCCTCGTAGACCAGATGCATCGTCTCCTTCGGCCGACACCCAGCCCTGGCCCTGGAGAGAGACTTAGCACTTTTCCCTAACAATATCCACCTTCCATGGGTTCCAAACGAGGTCCCCTCTCTGCCCAGTGGCGTTGGGGGAGAGTCGCTGTTGGAAGTCTTTGTCATGGGACGACGGGCAGAGACCTGGGATGGGGGGAGTCAGGGAGACAGAGAAAGCGGGCTCCTTGCCAGCTGTTCCCTGTTCTCATGTCTTCTGAGTGGTTCCTCCTTCCCTGTCAGGTAACGTCTCAACCCCTTAGCCGAGGGTTTTGTTTTAACCCATGATTGCCCGTTGGTGTGCACTCGTGGGCCATCAGCTCTTCCCAGGTGTCCTGTGAACTTTACAGGACTGAGTTTTGATCCATGTGTACAAAATGCTTCTACTGTGACATTGCTTGAGTCGAGCAGGCCACGAGCGATGCTGTTGGCAGTGGGGGTGCAGTCCTCAGGCTGATCACACCTGTGCTTAGTCCTTGATGACCGGCTGGTGATGTGAGTGTAAGAGAGGAGGGTCCCAGCAGGCAGCGCCCGCTTAGAGGAGCCGAGGGAAGGGCACTAGACCCCAGAGGCTGTTGCTTGGTAAGCACTTGGAGACACAGCTATGCTGTCGCAAGGTCCCTGGCTTGTCTCCGTCCTCTCATGAAGCCTGCCAAGCACATGAAATTCGAACTTGAATCCAGCTCTCATTTGAAAAGGGGACCCTAAGCGCACACATAATGTTGGGGGACCTTTTTTTTTTTTTTTTAACCTGGCTGTGTCTCTTGTGTGTGTGGCACGTGTGGGGGGGGGGGCAGCCTCGAGTCAGGGGTAGATGGACAGAGGGATGGTTGAATGGGTGGAAAGTCCTGGCTGAAGCGTGGTCTCAGTGGCACACATGCGCGCCCAGTGTGCAGCTGACTGACCAGGGCCCCGTGTTCTCCTCTCTGCCGGTTTTATTTCGTGCTGCCTCCTTGGACGTCGTGTGCATAAGCATTTGGATTTTCTTTCCTTCACCCAGGTCATGACTGAGCACGTGCATAGATGACTTCCTCTCTCACCCCTCGCTGCTCCTGTCCCCCCCGGGCCTCCACCCCTGGCATTTCCCCCCGTCACCCTTCCTGGGTATGTCCCTCTGCACCCCTAGCCTTAACCACCTGCAGTCGTCGCTCCCCAGCCTGACCCACACCAGGCGTCACTCCCGTTTATCTCTTTAGTCTTTGTCTCCCCCCCCCCCCCCCCCCCCCCCCCCGGTTGTTTCATAGATGCCTTAAGTTTGACTTTTTGCGGCCTTTCAGTTCATGTTACACATAGTGACCCAGACCAGAACCTTGAGAACAGTCCTGGACTTCTGCCTCCCCCCGCCCCAGCTCCTCTTGCTTGAGTATCTTAGCCCTTAACTACTTCTCCAACTTGTGCCTTTCTGGCTTGGGGCCATCACAGGGCCCTGCGCTGTTGGCCTGCCTGCCCCTCTTAGGAGACTGGGGGCATATTCATGTCCACATTTCAAGACCTTGTTCAATGGCCAGTGCAATAGGAACTGCTTAGGAAATGTTGGAATGAATGAATATGCAGGTGAAGGAATGAATGAGTGATTTCTGAAATGGTTTGAGATGATTTCCAATTAGGGTCATTTTTTTTTAAGTTTTTTATTGGAGTCAAAGAATTGTTTTTGCTTGTTAGTACCAACATTGTGATACTGTAATTTTGAGGAGATTTTTTGTACAGCATGAAATTTCTTTCTGTCTCAGGCCACACACACAAATGTGTGAACTTCAATGGAGGAATTATTTACTAAATTTACGGTACCCTAAAGCACTTGGGTATTTAGGTGATTTCGAATGTACGCTTATGTTTTTGGGAAATCTTTCACGGGCCCAAATAATTGATCTGCATGACGTGCTTTGAATTAACCTTGGGCTTAAATAATCTGGTTGCTCTAAGTCTCTAGGGCCATAGGATTTTAAGGTTGGAATGTTGTTACCTTTTGAACTTCAGTGTAAAGAAGAATGCCTGCGCTTGAGTTGATTGGTTCTGTGTCCCAATACTGGTCTGAAGAAAAATCATTCCCTTTGCATATTGGGTGACACCGTGACCCATTGAAGGTCCATTTCTTAAACTTTTTTTTTTTCCCCCCTCCAACAGGGCGAGTCACGTATTCTCAGAGTGAAGGTCGTTTCTGGAATTGATCTCGCCAAAAAGGACATCTTTGGGGCCAGGTATGTTTGCCTTTTTTTTTTTTTTGGTAAGCTTCTGACAAATTAGTCAAGCACTTTCCAGATTCAGACATGCATCAGAGTCGCCTGGAGGCCCCTTAAAACAGAGATAGCTGGGCCCCACCTCCTGGAGTCGCTGATGGAGTCAGTGATGCTGCCACAGCCAGTCCAGGGAGTGTATTTTGTGCAGCCCTCCATACAGGTCGATTTCCTGGGGAAGCCGGGTTCTCATGTTTCTGTTTTTCTTCGTAGAAGAATACAGTTTGGGAACGTTTATTCATTTTAATACATTCCTTTAAAAAAAAAAAATTTCCCAAATTGAGGAAGACGTGAAGCTGTGATTTTGTTACTAGCAAAACTGGGTACTTTTGGCCTGTTATGATCAGAATTGAGAGGTTTGGTGATGGGAGTGAATTTGGTGATTTCTGTGCCTTTTCCAGAAGCACCAGCAGCCTGGTCTGTCTGGGTATTTAGCTTTTTCATTTTGAGTATTGCTCCTGGTGATCCTGAATCTTGAAATCAGCCCATTTGTTCCTTTGCTCTCTGGAGTGTGTTGGGGGAAGAGACTGGATGAGTAGCAGAGTGGGGCCTGAGCCTCTGGTGGTGTGGGAGGGAAGCGCATCTCACCTGCAGGCTCCTTCCCATCTGACTGTGAAGCGGCGCCGAGTGGTTGCTCTTGCATCTGTATGAATGTCCGTGTCTTATCAGATGAGAAATTTGCAGGAGATTGAGACCTCTCGCTTCTATTGCTTACCATAGAGAGCACCAAGAACAAGACTGGGCAGATTGCCTTTTAACTTAGACCCTTGCGCACTGACCAGTAAATTGTGCCCTTAGGTCCACAATGTCCGTGGCTCTCTTTTCCATAAACGTTACAGTTTAGAAGGGGAAGAGGTTGGGTTTGGAAAACTTCAGCGATTTTTATTTAGTTTTAATTTTGCTTTTACCAAAGTCCTTCATAAAAAAAAAAAAAATGAAATGGATTCAGATTGCATTTCTCAGCCTACTAAGAAGATCTGAGGCTGAAATTGGTAGTGTGGGGAGGCTTTAAATCTTAGAAAAGCTGGACACACCTGATCCTTGAATTTTTACCCTTTGTACGAAAAGAGGCAGCATCATTTCTTAGCAGCAGAGTAAAAGGAATGACAGAGAATACCTCAAGATGTGCATTGGAAAGACGGGCACAGATCCAGTGCAGATAATTCCTCTACTCACATGGTTTGATCTGCATTTGCCTGTGGACTGAAGTCCCAGGATCTGGTTAAGGTGTAGGATTCGGGTACACCTTTTGTAACGTCTCATGCCAACTTGTCTGGTCTGGTTTGCCCCTTACTCCAGCCCCACCCCATCTGTCCAGATTTATCAGATTTGACTGCCCTTTCTAATGGCAAGTTAATACTCTTCCTGAATGACAAAAGTTGAGCCACTGGATGGGCCATTGGACTAGATGATTGTTCGGGTCTCTTTAAAACCTTAAATTGAATGGCTGAATACTTCTTAAAAGGAGATTGAAAGAACTGCTCATTGTATTTGATAGCGGCTAACCAAGATCTTAGGATTGTAAGTGAATATCATAACATAATTTGATTTAGAATAGATGTACTTTGCTAAGTAAGATCTTAAGGTTTTATTTTTTTAAACTTAGAAACTCTCTTAAGTTTCAAACTGTATTCTTCAGGTAAGCTTGTATCTCAAGATCTCCAACGTTTTGTCCTAGGCTTAAGTAGTAACTGAATAGGGTCATTTTAATGCAAGTGTTAAGTGCAGCTTCCCCCTTTTCCTCCTTGATTGTGATCAGTCTTCATTTGAGGTTACTTAGAATCATCCGGGACCATAAAGCGGATCCTTAAAATTGAGTGATGCCAGCTAAAACAAACCTGCTCTAGAATTTCATGCTTTCATGCGGAAGATTTCAAGACTCTCATTTTTGTATATTGTGTGTTGAAGTCTTAGCATCAAGTTCTACCTGTTGGGGTTGCTGTCATTTTTTTCCTTTGATGAGCAGAGACTCAAAATGTAAAACACACATGAACCCAAGGGCATTGGAGAGATGTGGCAAAAAAATCCTTGTGTCTACTAGTGACAGAGACTGATGGGGACTTATTGCCACGGTGTGATGACTCCATGATGCCACCTCACCTGAGTCCCTGTTATCTATATTTAAGTTGTTAACATTTGGCTACATTGGCTCCATCAATTTGTTTTAATTGAAGTATTCAAAACTGAATTCTAGACATCATAACATCTAGTCCCTAAGTACTTCAGCCTGCATCTCCAAGAAGCCAGCATATTCCTTTATAACCACAATACAAATTTCACAGAATTACCAATAATTGCCTAATAGACTCTATTTACCTTGTCCATTCCCTGAATCCCCCCAACTGTCCCTATAATGCCTTTCACAGCCGGGCGGTTGAGAGCAGAATTCAGTGGAGAACTGCATGTTGCATTTAGTTGTTAGGTCTCTTAAAATCCTGTTCATGTAGAATCAACTCTCCCCTCTTCTGTTTTTAAATGAACCTGAAATTGTCAGTAGATTGTCTCCCCACATTTGATTGCTTCCTGTTGTATCATTTAATGTGCTCTTTCTTCTCCTGGGCTTCCTGTATATTAGCAGTCACATGGAAAGGCTTGATCAAATTCAGTGTCAACACTGGAGACAGGAATGGGGATGTTGTTTGCTCAGAGGACACAGCACCTGGTTGTCTGTAACCAGCGGTGCTAAAATAAAAAGGATTCTGGGTTTAATGTGGGGCCAGTCTGTTTTGACCACTGTCAATACTTTTTCTCCCCGATGACCAGTAAGAGATGGGTGAGCAAAGTTTGGCTTATACACTGTACGCATGTAAATTTTAACTATTAAACTACCTTCTCTCCAAATGAGTAGGATTTTTTTGGCCATTTTTTTTTTTTAAACCTTGTACAAAATAAGTTTCCTTTTACCTGATGGGGAAACCTTGTGGCTCTAAGTACCTGGAGCGTCCCCTCCATAGGCCATAAGCACTTCTAGGACACCTTAGGCCAGAATCGGCAAACTGTTGGTCCCTGTGGACTAGACTGAACTCATACTTATGCTTCTTGAGGGTCCAGGGGGCACTAAAACCAGTAAAAATCCTGAGCCAGCATTTGGGAGATTCCATGTTTAAAAAATCCATATTTCCAGGTTTCTGGAAAATCTTGGCTGTCTAGACACATGCGGTCACACAGCCGGAGCTGTGAGCTGGAGGCAGTCTTAAACACGGTCGTGACCTTTGGGCCTCCAGGGACCCCACATCTCCTGTGGGATTCTGTGCAGCTGGCCGCCCCCACTGACGTAGGGAGGCCCCTTGAGGGACGGGCCCGTGTTTGGCTTTGACCCCCTCACTGGTGGCCTTCAGCATGTAGAGCTGATCATCCCCCCACCCGCCCCCATAGCACACGCACCTCCTTGGGTACAGGGCACCTTACAGCGTGCGGGGACCATGTTTGTGATGCACGGACACCATGGAAACCTGCCTCCTCCCCGGGCGCCTGGCGGAGCAGCCTTGGCCTTCTAGGGCACCGCTGAGGATCCCAGCGCCGACGCCGACGGCCTCTGGGCCGGAAAGTATTTGTTTTAAAATCCCTGCATCCAAGAGCCCATACGGTTACTCACGTGAGAGCCCCAGAGAACCTTCCTCGCAGACTGTTTATTCTGACTGTACAGCTCTACCACCCCAAAACCCCGACGGGACTTTAGAGGGTATTACCCTCCCCCTCCCAAGTAAACACCTCCTCTCACTCTGGGGCAGACCCACAGCTCTTCACGTGTTCATGATTACCTCCTGGTCTCTGAGGGCACCGATGCCCTTATAAAGTATGTCAGTGGTAGCCCGCACACCATCCGGGCCACGCGGGGAAGGCATTAGAAGTGGCAAATGGGTCAGTGTCTAGGGCCAGCATGGTTTTATCCTGCGTTAGGCCCTAAGGCTTGCTGTCCCGCAGCCAGCGTCATTGTATTATTTAGAATGATCTTGAATCACTGAAAAGGCTGTGCTGTGCAGGGAACAGCTGATGATTTTAAATATTAATCTATAGAAACAGCTTTTTGCATCACCCCAGTTTCGGTGAGCAAAGGAGTGAACTAGGCAGGCCACGCTTCCGTACCACTCTCTGATGTTGTGTCCATGCGAATCCCTCACTCAGCATTTCCGGCTTTACCTTCCCTCTAGTGTTGTTGTTGTTTATTTATTTTGAGAGAGAGAGCGCGCGCGTGGAGCAGGGGAGGGGCAGGAAGAGAGAGAGGGAAAGAGAGAATCCCAAGCAGGCTCCCCACTGTCAGCACAGAGCCAGATGTGGTGCTCGATTTCACAACGGCAAGATCACAACCTGAGTGGAAATGGAGTCGGATGCTCAACCGACTGAGCCGCCCACACAGCCCTGCCTTCACTCCTGATGCGTGAATATGTTCGTAACATCAAAGGAGGCTTTGCTCTGCCAAAAGGTCCGGCCGAGTGCGAAGGGCAAGTGCAGGAGACATCGCCCTCGTTGTTGTCGGAGTCCAGATTGATGCTCTCTGGTCGCCGAGTCTGTAAGGCAGAAAATTTGACATGTTTCAGGAAGATGAGGGGCCCCCAGCACCTAGTAGATGCTTGATAAATTTTGTTCACCTGGTCAGAGAGGAGCCTGAGAAAACTGAACGGTTAAAGCTACTCAAGAAGGGCCCTGGGCAGTATGTTCATCAGCTAATGTAATTACAGGGGGCACCTCTGGGGATTGGGGAAGTGGTATCTGCGCATGTGTGTGTATGGGGGGGGGGGTGTCTCTTGACCCTTGCTCCTCTTCCCAGCAGCCCACCCCTCCGTACTCCTTCTGTGCCCTCTGGCCCTCACCCCAGTACCTTCACCCTAGCTCTATCCCAAGGCATTCTAGATTTGTCTCACCATTTTCCTTTTTGCGGGGAGGTAGGAGAGAGTATAAGAAGCTGAAGTGTAAGGAAGGCAACATGCCAACTTGAGATGAGTCAGAAATGAAAGCAGTTGTGA